CACAGAACAGAACCAACTTGTTTAATTGAAACAGCTGTTAAGATTCAATAATTTCATTTCTCATAAGGTTAACATGGGCTTCCAGAAATTCCACGTCAAAAATCGACAAAAACTTGATTTTCAAGGGTTTACTGTTAAATATCTAACTGTCTCATATTCGATGAAATACGTCTAAAACCATCTCATATATGTATAGTATTTGGAAAATAAGTTTCAGGCGGGACAGTGCTATAGTTATTGAGGAGTAGTTGTAATAAAGTGCGTATTTTAGCGTTACCAAGAGAATGACAGATAGACAGACAGACAGACAGACAGACAGACAGAAATTGAGATAAGGTTTGATTCGGTTTCTCTGACCTATGAAATGTAAAAATAACCAAAAAGTTCATTATTCTAAGCAATGTACAGACAAAACTCTAATTTTATTTATATAGATTACTTAATATAATATTACTATAAAACAACTTTTTATTTGATTACATGTTTAGATTTTAGGAATCTTGGTTTAATCTATGAATGCAATTCAAATGTAGCCTACACACAAGAAAAGTGGCATTCATATTTAGCTGAAGATTATTATTTTTTGTTCGAAAATGACTTTTAGTCATATGTGATAGTTAAAACTATTTCCATAACAATAGGTCCAGATATTAAAACCGTCAGTTTCAGTTCCATTCAATTAAACTCTCCAACAAATGGTACAAGTTGTGAAACAAGAAGGCAAACAACTGTTCTTGTTCGCTTGTTATTGTTGACGACTAAACTGCTAGTCCATATTTCCATGTTGAGGAAAACTTTTGTTTAAACAATATGCTTACCCATAAAAAATAACCGTAACTATATACGATTACAGTGTTATAATTATAGTTTTTTGAAGTGGTCTGTTCTCATGTACAGTACTACGTCAAAGGACAACTTTTAGACGGAAATGTAAGGGGTTTTCAACACATGCAAATTAATTTGGCATTTTGCAATAGCGTATAAACCAAAACTAGACTAAAACTTAAAACTTAGCACGACTTTATAGATTGTATATTTCACTCCCGAAAGTGGAATTTCTGGTGCACGCTTAAGTTTCATGTATGAGGCAAAACCGAACATTGAATATGAAACTTTACGTGCGAAGCTGAGCATGTGAGGGTAAGTTTCATGGACGAGGCGAAGCCACGGATATTTTAACAAGTAAAAGGAAATATCTTAGTGAAAAGCCAACCAGAGATATGTAACTTAGTATGCAGGTTTGCTGCGGTGGGGCGTTTTAATTTGGTGGTGTTAGTTGGAGTTTTGGAACAAATCTCAGTTGATTAAACCAATCAGACACAAGTCTCATCAACAACCGAGGCAATTATCAGCTGATTGATTTTGTATCATCCTCTAGAGAAAAACACGGTCTTACACTCTTTGAATAAAAACATTGTAAACATGTCGGCATAAGGGGACGAAAAAACGAACTAACAATACTTTGTTCGCTTTGGTTGTAAAAATTAATTTTTTCATGAAAATATTCGTAAAATACGATATTGTATTATTTACAGAAGCTAGAGTTCTAATTCTAGTGTAAAATTTGAAAGCTGTTTTGAGGCGTATTTTTTCTTCAGTTACATAACATTAGCTTTAATATTTCACTTGATCGTTCACTTCTTTTATAGGACGAACCTAACATTGTGCAGTGTAGTCTCCCTAGTACTAGGTAATATTTAATGCTAGAGAAAATGCAAAGATGTCAAAAACATCTCGTTTATTGGGACAGGAAAAGTAAAAATTAACCTTACTTACCCTTTTCCATCCCAAGAAATACCTTGAAACCATCTTCAAAGAGAAGGACCATTAATTAAAAAGTTATGGCTTGTTCATTAAACATTTTGTGAAGGAAGTATTTTTGACTATTTGTCCAAAACTACATTCAGACGCATCCACAGTGATCCATTTTTCAACAATACTTATTGATAAACGATTATTGGTACTTTTCTGCAACAAAAAAAAAACTAAGTGCATAAAATAATTTATAGAAAAAGATCTAAAAACCTTTATCAAAACAAGCTAACAGCAATTCAAAACTAATTTCCGATTAACATGTCTTATCCACACATCATCAAATTCCAGGTATTCTACACCTATGTAGCATTTAATCAATTTCTAGTAAATCAACAAGAATTTAAATCATTCCAACATATTGATTACCCATTTGCAATCAATTCATAAGTACTTTTATGCAACGAGTGGACTAATCAAACTGTTTATTTATCCTGTTCTTATTTTACACATCTACTGTATTCATTATCTACACAATATACTATTGTGACTAAGTAAAGTAATTAAGATATGTCTATTAATTACCTCTAATTACCAGTTTTGTAATCAGGCTACACATGCGGGCAGTGGTAATTAGTACGCGGACTGGGGTGATTAAGCGCACAAGTCCAACTAATAATCTACAATATCATAATTGAACTGTCCGGCTGTAACGGTTTTTGATTATTATTTGTATATTCAGGTGTAAAAGGGTGAAAATGTTGTAGCATGGTAATTTGAAGAATGAGAGATGGGGTCCCGTTAGAAACCATAAGTTAAATAAAGGTTTATGTTAAGTGAAATTATTGAAATAAAATAATGGATAGACAAAAATATCTTTGTGTGGCATTTTATCTAGGAAGAAATTGTTTAAAGATCTCAAAATGTATGAAGATAATCATGAAAAGCATTAATTTCTACTACTCCCACCTATTGATTGCACTCTGGTGTATTGATTACTGCTATTCTACTACGATTGGACTAATTAAGGGCTTTCATGCTTACAATACTGTTTATTGAACCCATTCAAATCCCCATAATACCCATATTGTATCTATTTGTTCAATACTCACCATTCATATTTTTTTTCTCAGGACTTTTTAAAAGTACTGTAGTAACCATCAGAAGATATTTTCAATACCCTCAAATACTTTAATACCTAAACATACTGTGCACGTTGTTGAAATCTATTGTAATGTTTTTACAAATATAACTGAGAGAGCTAAGCTTATAAAGCACCCTAAGCGAGGGTTATTAATCACACAAGGGAAGTAATGAAAAATTACATCTTTGTGTGCTTCATGGCCAAACTGTCCGCTAACAAGCATTATTACCTCGCTCCACGCATATTTTCACCAAACACTATCATAGTTTTAATCAGGTTGTTGTTTTACTCAACTAGTTTAAATTGATTAGAATTCCACTTAGTGTTTATTATTAGAAATAAGTGGACACCTCAATAGAAATTATTCTTGATTATCACCATTCAGTTTTCTTTTGAAGGTTATTGATATCAACATAACAATTTCTGAAATTATGTTGCTTAAAATCAACGCCATGGCAGTGTTGGACCAATTGCTTGGAATAAATTAATAAAGGGTTGTAATTTCACCAAACCCCAATTGTTGTTTTTCTCAACGCAAATACTACAAGTATTTGGGACAAAGAAAGAAAGAGTTTATCAATTAGGGAACATACATTTATTTATTCGTTTTGGATGAGATATAATTTCAAATAACTTCTTGATCAGCATTGTACGTGTTATTAAATTTACGGAAAGTAAATAAAGATACGTCTTATAACACTTAAAACATATATTTACGCTTATACTGTTACTCACAAGACGGTAAATATACAAAAGATGGTAAGTGGTGATCGATTTCGATCGGAATTTTGATCGAAATCGATCACCACTTAACCATCTTTTGTATATTTACCGTCTTGTGAGTAACAGTATAAGCGTAAATATAGTTTTAGGTGTTATAAGACGTATCTCTATTTACTTTCCGTATATTATTTCAGGTAGAACTTTAATGTGATTGTTATATCACTAAGTCTGCTCCTTTGATTGCGGGTTCACAAGTGAGTTAATAATTAAAAGATTTCCCTACGATTGTGAATTCTTTTTATTTCTCTAGGTTCCAGCTCGAAATCAATGTCCACATTGCTTTAGGCTGGATTCAGAGTGGGTCACAATATTATCACTTAGATAAAATCCGTTGGTGGTTGGCGGGATTTGGACCATGGACCTCAGGGGTGGAAGTCCCGCGCTCTACAACTAGACCAGCTACCTCCACGGAATGGTTGGCGCTAATATTGTTAAAATCAACGAATGTTAGAATTTTTCATTGATTGATTAAATACTCGGTGGAAACTGGATTGAGCATCTGGTGTATTATGACCAACGAATAAACACAACTGTCCATAGCCTTCCTGGTTCTGGATTGCTCCCTATACTATGAAAAATATTGCATATTTTATCGCAAGATATTTCCAAATATCATATTCCACTTCGTATCCTAAAATGCAGTATGATCTATAGAATACAATTTGACCAAACTTATACTTAATAATCCCGACACATTGCAACATAATATGTTCTTCAGATGTCTGTTTAAACCGTATGAAGATCATTTCATTTAGATCTCTTAGATTGATAGAAACTAATAGTAATTCGGAAAAAGATTATTGATTAAGAGCATAAACCCCAAACACTTCTCAGATATAATTTGTAATGTAAAATAATATAAACGCTACTCTTTGAGTTTGAATGTATTGTATTTAAATAAAAGCAACCTCGCATGTGAACTAATTACTTTCAGTAATGTTTTAATGCGGTTGCACAGTTGTAGTAAATCTCCGTTAAATTTCCCCTCGGCCGAAATATCTCATGCAATTAAATAGTACATAGTGGTCTTTCTACAGTTTCTTCAATCTGAATGAGAAATAGATGGTTGCTATGTTTGGAATACCTTCGAAAAATATCAATTCAGGGGATGCGATAATCCAACGAAAACAGTTCGAAAACATCATCGTTATACTTAACACGTTCAGTTATAATCAACGAGTGTACGATTTTCCTTAGTAAAATGAATGTATTTGTGTGTTTACAATTAGAAACACATGCATTCTATTTCACCGTAATAACATGTTTCTTAATAATAACGATCATATGTTTGTTTATTTTTAAAATTTAGTTTCAACCTAAATAAACATTAATCGTTGTAGTAATTTTTAAGTCTAAATTTTCTAACTTAAAGCAACAGAAATGTTATAGAACAAGATCCATAAATGCCATCTAATTGAAAACCAATTTCACCGGTTGATAAATCAGTGGTAACAACTAAATTTTAATAAATCAGGAGTAAAAAAATCGACAAAATATCCTTGACTTACTAAGGGTTTTCATCATGGCTGTTAAAGTTTCGATGGACGCGCGGAGGAAAATCTCAGAACAGTTAGAGAGGGAAGAAGAGCAGAAAAGGGCCCAGAAGAAAGCTATTGAAGAACAAGAACTTAAAAAGTTAACAACTCAGGCAAGAATGATGAAAGAATCTAAATTGAGAGACGCTGTTGCAGAAAAACAAGCGTAAGTATAACAAAATGGTTACATTGTAATTTATCTTTCAACAAATACAAGAAAACTATGTCGAACAGTTGGACTAATCTATTGCAATGTTTCAGAAAAGTTAAGAATATTCTGGTAAAAGAGAAAGTTTCCTTGGAAGACAACCTGAGGGTGATGAACACCGCCCAAAGGTGCTTAAAGGACACTAGACAAGCCCGGGAAATAGCAAATCTCTTTGCTAAGAGAGTAAGTACTGTTGTAATAGTCGATAAGTCCATATCAAGTTTATACTGGGTCATTGAATTTTACAATCTTAAGTTCTGTTTTTCCGATATATCATGACAATTTGCTGTGATTTTTACGCCTTCAACATACAGTTAGGCTAACAACTTCCCAATTACATTAAAACCATTCTTTCAAAATTGTACCAGATTATGTCTTCAACAGGACCACCTAGACGCTGCGATTGCACAAGAGAAGAAGAACTTGGAAGAGTTAGAATACCAAATACGGAAAGATTCGCAAAACATTCAGGCGGTAAAGAAAAACCACGGATTCGCTGTTGCCAAGAGTGAATATCTGCAGAAAACAGAGGCAGAACAGGCTGACAGGTCTTTGCAAGCTTGGAGCTCGAGATTAGCTGCGGTAAGCTGAACAAGTAGATTGAACTTTTAATTCAAACTGGTATTGTAACGGTTTCAACAGTAGAACACAGAATGTCAATATGGAAATATGTTTAAATAATGTTGGTATAGTTTATGCATGTTATGTATTGAACATATTTGGTGCGAGGTTTTGTACTATTTATGTATGTCGTTATATATTTATGGAGTGAAAATTTAACTGAAAACAAAATTTCTTGAAATTTACGTTGAAGCTTAAAAATCGATTTCACCGGCATCTTAAAATACCTTTTGCATAAAATGGATCTCAAATACTATTTATTAATTTACGAAATAATTTGGTATTAGGAATTATTATTTTTCTTTATACACAGTTGCAGTGAATTGTTTGTTTACCAAGATGTAAACAATACACATTGCTGCAATCGAAAAAAAAAAACATGAATAAAGACATCTAACCTATGGGCCAATCCTCAAACCAACGAACGTGTAGGAATTTGTATGTAAGAATTATTTTAAAGAATCATACTGCAGTTTGTGTATATGTCTTCAAACTTAGAGCTTATTAAAAAAAATTGTTTGTCAACTCACAGTAACATAAAATAATCATATCTCAACCGATTTTACCAGGAAAAAGCCCAGCTGGCGATGGTTATAAAATCCAACGAAGAGATGAGAAGTAAGTTGCAGCGTTTGATAAAAGAAAAGGGGCAGTTTAATAAACTTTTTGGAGAACTCATGGAAAAACTTACGAAAGGGAAAGGCATCATGGTAGATATAGTGGAGCGATCCCGTCAAAACTTCAAGAAAAGGTAAGTGTCGAGATCTTCATTGAAATGTATTGCCAATTATTTATAAAAATTTGCTGTGAAAATCGAACATATCCTAAGTATTAGTACCTTCTTAGCATTTTCTAATACAAGATCATGGCGTTGGCGTGGTTGTCATGGAAAAACAGTATTAACAAACGTGTTAAAATAAACATGACGCAGACGTTACGTTATAAATTAGTTCAACAGCTGTTTGGGTAGGCCGGGTGTGCGGTGTTGCCACTTTTGTCTGGCTGCGACCTTGTATTAGAAGAGGAGACGACTGTGCACTACATTTACTACCAACAGCTGTTCACTAAACTTTGGAAATTAAATTATAGGATGCTAATCTTATTTTGTCCATAACATAAGTTTTATCATGACACTTTCCCACAGTAGAAAATTCAGTATAGACAGTATCCTTCCCAATTGTTATATTATTTTCAGAAAAAAATCTGTTTACAGAATTTTGTCTTAACATAATCCTAACCCAGATCCTAAAATCTTTTAACTATGTGAAAGGCACGAATGTATGTGGATTGTGGAGTATCTAATAAGAAAGGTCTATAAGTGTACAATTTTAACACTTTAATATTCGTATTTCATTCAATAGCTATATTTTCTCAGAGACGACGTACACCGCAAAATTGAGGCTCTCAGAAGTCGGGACAAAGTTGATTTGTCAAAGCGGATGGAAGAAATGCAAGAACTCGAGATCAGGCTGGATCATGATACAAGACTCAACAATTTCAGAATGAGGGTAACTGCGCTTGTCATATTTTTGTACTATTTCTTTTGGTTAAGAATGTGTTAAATATAGCGATTTTTTCTACTTGCTACCTAGTCAATTTCAAAAGTACAATTTTACAAGTTATAACTCTCGGTTAAAGATGATTATTCAAACAAACTTTTGAAGGAAGTGTGCTGTGATGGCTACTTTTTCATATTTGAAATGAAAATTCATTTTACATAAAATAAAACACCTGAAATGAATGTCGTACTCGAGCTTAAATAATGTTTGCCGACACAAATGTAACTAGGCCTAATAAAAACTTAATTTCAGCCCCTATTTCATTTTTCAAATTTAAATACAAACCCTTCGTAAACTTGTTATATTTAAAGGTACAACAAATGAGGGAGAAACTTTCGAAAGAGCAGGGGAGGAGCAGCTGTAACTCCGAAGAGCAAAAAAAGCTGGCACATATGTTGGAGACTGCGAACGATTTTTTGGTAAAACTACAAGAGTTCACTGGACTGACCACTTCTGAGGAGATAAGCAACCATATCGTCGCTGAGGAATCCAAACTTTTCAGCATGTTCAACTTAAGCAATGAAATACGAGATCAGGTAAAATCATAGTTCCCTTTAATACAAGGTCGCAGCCAGAGAAAAGTGGCAACACCGCAGACGCGGCCTACCGAAACAGCTGTTATAGGCCGCGGCTTTGGTGTGTGGCGACGTCACTCCGGCTGGTCTATTGCCATGGCAATCACAAAACAATATAAAACATAAATATTGCATATACGCTCTATTATGTATTAGTTCAACAGCTGTTTTGGTAGGCCTGGGCTGCGACGTTGCCATTTTTCCGTTCCACAAGAGGAGACCCTGATGGAGGCTCTGATGCTACTCATATCTTGTATTTCTTTGTAGAGATTAAACTATGTTCACCCAAACTTGCTTTTATGCAAAGGTTCTCTCAAGGTACCTAATAATCTATATCTAGGATTCACAATATAATTTAAAATCAGCAAAAACGTTAAAAACAAGTTTTTTTATAACTATCTTTATATTAACTCCAATCTGCTATGATTCAAATATTGATTATGTAAAACCTTTGACTAATAGCATTAGTCAATGGTAAAACACAAATATATAAAAGTTTAGGCAAATGTTTAAATTACTGTTCTCTATAGTGAAAAATACAAATATCTACAACATCAACAGTTGTTGTTTTAAATAACTATGACAACATTATTGGTAAAAGTAAAAAGCTACTTGAAGTTTTTTAATAATGTGAATATTGTCTAAGCATAGACAAATAGAAGAGGGTACGTTTTATCTATGGTATTGTATAATTGTTGTTCAACCTTAGTGAATAAATATTCTTTTACAGCTGGAGGTGTTGACATACAAAACCGCTGAGCTAGTGTCAACCGTCAACGAGGAGAGGGAGACCGCTGAACAATATCTAATTGATAGTAAAAGGTGGGAAACATAACTTCTAATATTAGATATCCAAATGAATGACAACTTGCCTTATAACAAATCTTGGATTGAAAACCAATATGGCATCCGTGTATTTTTTTTCGCATCAGAAGTAAAATATAAATTCAACTTCAAACCTTCTATAAGGATATTTAACTATGTTTGGCACTGTAGTATTTAAAATAATAACCTTTCGTATACGCGATAGGTGACAAAACTTGCATTAATGCTAAATAACTACACGCTGAACCAAAGATTATCCAATTTTAGCGAATTTCCCTATAGGGAAGTAGCTATTACCGTAGGTCTCATGGTAAGACTTAGGCCCGGGACCGATTTACTTTTTCATTTTAATGTCCCCAGAGGACAAAAACACCATTCGTTCAAATTTTTATATATGTATATATATATATATATATATATATATATATATGTGTGTGTGTCCGTGAACACGATAACTTGAGTAATTTTTATCCGATTTTGATGAAATTTGGTTTGAAGGTGTAAGGCGGGATAAACTTGAATGAGTTCGCGATCCAGCATGATCGGACCATGGGAACAGGGTTTTATGGGGGGTTTTATGGGGTAAAAATTGGTTTTTCTCACTTTTTACCCTCAAAACACAAAATTTCCCAATTTTTCTCTAAACCTTCTTAAAGAGCTTAAAAAAACAAACAATTCAGTATATCAAAGTGTTTTTGTACGGATATTGGTTACGGAGAAAACTAAAAAAATAGTAAATTTAAAATTCCCATGTTATTCTTATGGAGAATATTGTAAAATGTTGTAGTTTGCTTGTTTATGGATATATTTTGATCAAACTTGGCAAATTTATTTATTTTATAGTAAGCTATCAATATTTTACTAAAAACACACTACTTTATTAGTTTCCTTGTAGCAGCAAACCTAGGTACTCGTTAAACCTAATGTTATTTAAATAGATCAATTGAAAATCAATTCGGCCAAATGGAAATTCGCTTAGACGGCAGGTTTGCTGCGGCGGGGGTATTTTATTAAAAATCTACTTGTGTCCTAAATTATACGTTGAATGAAATTCCTTTGGAATTTCCAGAAGGTATGTGGACATGGTAAATTTCAATTGGATCTCCATTCCTTGCTAACCAATCCTCCCTTGAATCTCCTTCGGTATTCATTAGTTACGCAAGGTACTGTTATGAACCTAGGCTGCGGCTTTGGCAACGTCGCACCGGCTGGCCTGTTGCCATGGTAACAACAAACGTAAACAAAAACATTGTGCATATACGCTTCATTATGAAGTAGTGCAACAGCTGTTTTGGCAGGCCGGGAACGCGGCGTTGCCACTTTTGTCTTGTCACGGCCTTGTATTAGACTATGATACAATACATACAAATTACTTGAACATACATTTTGTTGTAGCCATAACAAAGAAATGCATGACAAACTTGGACGTATGGAACATGAACTGAACGATATGCAAGATTTCTACGATGCCAACCGTCGTGTCTTCAATAGGCTGTTGGATAAGACACAGGGTCTGTGCGACCTTTTGCATTGCAACACGTCCGTTTTACGGGATCTTTTAGGTAATTTCAATAGGATTATTTTAGAGGATTTCCCATATAGGGAATAAGTACCATAAGTCTCATGGTAAGACTTTCAATGATAAAACACACACCATTTCCTTCCCTGTAGCAGCAAACTTAAGCACTTATTACAATTAATGTTATTTAAATAAGATATGAATCTGACAATTTTAAGGGGATATTTCAGTGGAAATTAAGCCAGGTAAATGGAAATTCGCTTTCTGCTAGGTTTGCTGCGGCGGGGTTGTTATTGATAACTATGCGAACTATCCTGTTACGCAGCACTTTTGCTTTGATTTTTTATGCAGCACTCCTCTGACTGGTATAATCATTTTTTTGTTCTGGTAGTCCTAGCCCAGTGTATAGTCAAATAGTAGCGCTCCGTTACCATAACTAAATATATCAATTTTACATGTAACAAGACCAGCTCACGTTGCCTGTTATATAATGATTAGCCTCTAAAACCACGAAACTGCAATGATTATAACCACCGATTGGTGAATTCTATGAAGCGTTGGAAATTAACAACTTCATAGTGTAAAAGTGTAAAAATACATTTTATGAGTAATTTTCCTTTGTGTTACTATACCAGTTTGCTTTTCTATCATGAAGCAGTATTTTGTACTTTTTATTTAGCAATATTTGTTCTCATTATTGTACCGTCCACTATAGGTGAGAACTCTGAGGTCACCCAACACAACTTCCCGATGTTCCTGAACCTGTTGGAGACCGAGGTAATCTCTGCCTTGGATACCCTGACCCATCACCTCCCGTGGGTCTTCGCCACTAGTGGCGTCATGTCCACAGTCAGCAAGTCGGAGAAGTCCTTGTACTTCTCCGGAGTCGAGGAAAAGTCTACGGTGCTGGTCAAGAAGGTGGTGACTCGCCACTGTTTTGAGTAAGTGTTTGAGTTTACCGTCAATTTAAGATAGAATATTTATATAAACAAAAATATGTTTGTAATTTGATGGGTATACAATTTTTTTGGAGGTAGGATGGTTCTAGTCCTGGTTGAGAACTGGGATCCAAGCATTGGCCTTTGGGGGTAATTCTAGTGGTAAAGGGTGGGACTTTGGTCTCTAAGGTCCCGGGTTCAAATCCTGCTAATCACTGGTGAATTTTGTCTTAATGATAATGCCACAACCCCTAGGTCTGTACTCTGTTAAATGAAAAACATAAATTAATTAAATTTATATGTTTAGGTGTAACGGAAGGAAAACGAAAATGCTCTAAAACATAATGCTGGATATGCACAATCTACAAGTCTTCGTTATGAAAGGAGAAATACCAAAACGGATCTCTACCAACAATATTGTATGCTAGGGAGGCAAAAGTTTTGTAAATTTGTGAATTAAAACAAATACGTTGGAATTATCTTCAAATTAATATTATCACAGTTAAGGAACTAACATCTTGCTAACTATTTTTTTAACTAATCAATTTGTTTAAACAGGGAAATAACTAGCATTTTATATCCTTATGTAATAACTAAGAAGCGAACGCCACAGACAATTTGTGTTGAGAGCAGCAATATTACGATATAAGCTACTTATGTTTACGACAAAACTTTCTAACGAATGCCTCGGAAACTGTAGTGTGGTAATATAAGAATGATTAATACATTAGACCTTGGTAAAAGTTTTAGGCACTGTCCTATAAAATAAAGATTTGACATAAGCTTTCGTTTCTGAATATAATATTTAACATATTTGGATCGGGTTTTAAACACATTATGACTGGACTAAAGTTTATATTGTGTGTTTGTGAAGAATTTTATTTCTTAAACGTTCTTAGACCAGAATAAAGGAGGAGGATACAACTATTTAGATTAATGAAAATCCGTAATAAATAAAAAAATATATAATAAAAGAACTGCATAGCCACTCCTTTCCGTTTGAGCACACTGACGAAACGCCGTATACAATGAAAAAAGAGTATTCCTATAGTTTTGTAAGCAACAAAGTACTGTGCTAAAAACCTGCGTATTAGTTTTTGTGATGTGTACTTTGCTTAGCCGTTTGACCTTTTTGAAACCGACTGTCAAGTTTCAATTTGATTAAGCAGAGTGTATATTAATGAGTGTTACGTCTATATTCTGGTGGTGTGTCTGTTCTCATATTCAGTTCACAAAATTTAGGTGGTTGCATGGAAGAAATCCCTTTCCCTCCTTCTTACCCTACCAACTACCTTTAAAACAACAGGTGTCCAGCTGATAGTAAGCTTAAACCGTCAATAAGCTGTAACATACATTAACAAAAAGTGGGAAGGAATCCGGGAAACTTTCCCTAAAACGGGCTAAATTTTGTGAACAGACTACATTAGGAATAAAACGTATTTTCCAGTACTTCTTTTTATCCTGGTCTGGTCCTGGTCTACCAATCCTGAAAGAAAATTTTGCTTTGAAATCAACTGGTCAAGAAAAAAATATAAAATGCCTCTCGAGTATCTGATTACCCTAAAGTATAGAATACAATTTTGTATTGAATCTCATTTGATTTTTTAAACAATATGGTAATTAAATACACGCTGTGCATTTAAAATGCTGTTAGTGTCAGATGGGCTTATATTTGAACACAGACAATAAACGCCAAAACACTCATAAATGCTACAAACTACAATCACAGACACCCATAACACTGTCTCCGTGTAGTTATGGACAGTTGAATAATCATGTCGCTGATTCAATAACGATAAAGATAATTACTCCTGCACATAAGTAAATTGATTGTTCAATTCCATGACATGCTACGCTAGTTGCATATTTCAATTTGTATTAGCAAACAACATTTCTCTCCATGCTGTCTGTACTTTGTACATTGATTAGTGTTGGTATTTAATTAGGTTGGTAATAATTGTCAGGCTACTAAACTAAGTTCACATGGTTATGAACATACATAAGAATTGTTTCAAAATAAGAAAGCTTTTTTTACTAAACATATTTTGCAAATGCTATAACAAAACAGTAAATGAAAAACTCAGGTAATTTTTTTAATACAGTAATTTATTTATTTTATTTGAAGCTATTTTGTATACGTTTTGACTATAAATTTGCTAAGACAATAAAAGGCTATATTGTTTAGTTTAAACGAAGATGAATTAAACAAAAATATTATTTCTTGTTGTAGTTGGTTTTGTAGGCCAATCAGAATAATAAGGTTACAATAACTGCAGCCTCGCTAGTGGTCCTCGGTAGTTATGTGACATTATGTGTCGAAAAAATTCAAGATTTTTAAAGAAATTCTGGAGATGGTAGTTACCGAAACGCGTAATCCTGTGGGATGTTCGAGGAACTCTATTGGCAGTCTGCAGGTACTGTGTAACCTTATTATTTTCAACATATTATTAGCTTAGAGCTTTGTCACCATTGATAAAATTACTCGTCTTCCTAAGCTGTAAAAAGCTAGTTCTTAAGCTACAAGAGCTTTCCGTTCGTTAAGAGCTATGTTCAATGACAATATTACCCAATGAATCTCGATATTATTATATACTATTCAACATTAAGGTCAACCAAAACGTTTTACTAGGATTTGTTTTGTGTATGCAAACTTTAGGCCCTACAACATAATTATTTAATCTTCAAAGAGACAAAACTACAGTATGATTTTAATTCAAAACCGGGACAGTAATACATACATTAATCAAACCAGGAAATTTTTTATTCTTAAAAACAATAGGTCCGATGTCATTGAAAAATCTATATGTTCACCAAATTTGAGTGAAAACTCCTTCCTATAGAACTCCAGAACGTGTAGGCCTACAGTAGAACCTTGACAGCAATACATGAGGTTTATTAAATAAGACTTGTTTTTAAGGTTGACTTCTTATTAAGGTTCACAATAACATGTGATTAGGGGCAGAATACATTTAAGGAAGTTCGAAAAATGACATTTATTATCAACTAGCTGTACCCGCGGGCTTCGCCCCGTTTAACTTCATAAGTATTCGCATGGCTCATTCACGTCCTGGTTGAAGTTCGTTCGCTACGCTCACTCACCTTTAAGTTGGAGCTCGTTCGCTGCGCTCACTTGCCTTCAGGTTAGCTCGTTCGCTACGCTAACTCGCCTCCAGGTTGAAGTTTGTTCGCTACGCTCATTCACCTTTAGGTTGGAGCTCGTTCGCTGCGCTCACTTGCCTTCAGGTTAGCTCGTTCGCTACGCTAACTCGCCTCCAGGTTGAAGTTCGTTCGCTACGCTCACTCACCTTTTGGTTGGAAATTAGCTGTTGTCATAAATTACAAAAAAAATAATAGTGCTGCACCCTGTTGGTAATCCTTGTAACTTTTATGCTATTGAACATCATAGAACAGAACCAACTTGTTTAATTGAAACAGCTCTTAAGATTCATTAATTCCTTTTAAATATGAAAAATCATAAGATTAACATGGGGAACTACAGAGCCACTGGGGCGGAGCCCGAAAGGGGTTTTGAGATAAGAATATGCTTTAATGTTAATCGGGAATGTGAGCTATCATCATGCCAAATTTCAGCCCAATCCGTCCAGTAGTTTATGCGTGATTGAGCAACAAACATACACACAAACTCACAAACTTTCAGATTTATAATATTAGTAAGATAAGATAATGACTTGTTATCGAGGGTGTTCTTATCGAGGTTCCATTGTATTACTTAAACTCACATTTTCATTCAAAATTCCTCATTTGTGAGGAAGTCAGTGTTTGTATACAAAAGAGTAAAGTTAAGTTGAATGAGACAAGTTACAATTTCCTTGCCCAAGTGGATGTGACAGTTGTTGTTCTTTCTTAGATTATTGTTTCCAGTAAGTTTATACGCAGTTTGAATATCTCAGCAGCTTGAATACCCAAACGGTATTGACCTGCGGAGGAAAAGATTAAATATTATGGGTTTATTCATAAAAATAATTTAAAATTCTCAAACTACTCAAATAATTTTAAAAGGTGATAAAAATAAATAATATGCTAATATGAAGTTAGTTAAAAAGAAAACAAAAACAAATTACGATGATTGTTCAGCTTAAAATTACGAGAAAATAACACTGTGATCCTGCAGTTAATTTTAACACTAATTAAATTAGTTGCAAAAATCTTCCTGATCCCAAACAATTAGGTGAACAAAAGAATTTTGTTTACCTCACTTTTAATAATATGTTACCCAACGAACATTATACAGTGTAGGAGTAATGATTTATTTTTAATTATTATTTTATTCCAGAATTTTTTTTCTTACAAAATAAAAGCATTATACCAAAATAACTGTGTAAATGCTCCACAATCCAGCTACTATGAGGTCACGAATCGTGGATATTTATAGGCATGCACTATGGATGCGATACTCCCTGGTGTGGATTAACGTCCGCACGAGTGAGTACGACGACTATCCGCAGTACTATCCTGATAATTAGACCAATTCGTATATACCAAGGAGTGGTTCGGATTCCACTATAAACTGTAGGTCCCTTGGTTGCCATTAGCTGTATGGGCTATTAATTAACAGCGGTGTCTAAGGAATGTCGGCCTTAGTCACTAACAAGACTACAAGATCGCGCCACTCATACTACACTCATCTCCATCCATACTTGGCTTAAAAATTCTTCAATAAAAGGTTAAATTACCTGTGTCCGCCGGTCGATCCTAATAAAGCTGTATCCTATTACAGGAGATGCATTTCGGCAGAATAAATTGCCATCATCAGTCCTAATATAAGTACTTGATATTCCCCATTGGGTGCGTCTTTATTGAATATTTATTCTGCCGAAATGCATATCCTGTAATAGGATACAGCTTTATTAGGATCGACCGGCGGACAGAGGTAATTGAACATTTTATTGATTGTCATACCGATCCGGAACAACAACAAACAACATCAAATGAAGTTAAAATACATACTATGTATGGTCGCCATTTTATTGAACAGTATTGTCAGTATTAACAGGTATATTGATGTGGTTATTTTTGTATACATATAAACTTACAAATTAAGCAATGCAAGTGTTATGCTAGAATTACATCACATTGGAGAAACTATCATATAACAAACAAGAGGGTCTGTTCCACCGATGTTTTATAATACGTTGAACGACTTCCAAATGGGTTTTCAATACTTTGGACCCATGGGTTCATCGGTTCTATAAATAACAGGTATTGGCAGCTGTTGTAGCAAATTGGTCTGGGAATAATCTATAATGTGTACTTCGGTGTTGTATACCAAAAAAATACATTATGCTCTAAACTCTGTGGACGATTCAATTTACTAACAATAATGTAAATATTTACAATGGACTACATAATATATTCTAAGATTTAAGTTTGATTGATTTATTTTGTACAGAAACACAATTTGTTGTGAGTTTGGCCTTTTCCATGTATATTTCATCTATTTTTGGGTCT